TGGAAAATGCTATCCACATCCAAAGAAAGAACTATGGAGTTTGAATGCAGATAGAAGCATTTTTTCCCTTGTGTTTTGTTCTGTTTCCTCTTTCTGGTGGTTCCTCCTATTGGTTTTATTTCTTCCTTACAACATCATTAATGTGAAAATAAGCTTAATATGAACGTGTAAGTAGAGCCTATATCAGATTGCATTCCTCTTGGGGAGGAAGGAGGGGGAGAAAATTTTTAAACTCAAAAACTTATGGAAGTGATTGTTGATAAATCAAAATAAATTAATTAAAAAAATTTAAAAAGAAAAAAATTACTGGTGAACCTCTACAAATTATGAAAATATATCATCATATAAATGTGAATAAACAACTCTGAAACTGTCTCTCATCCATTATGTTAGCAAATACGGTAACATGAAAAACTTTTGAGAAAACAAGTATGCTAATGAGCTACTAGTGAATATGTCGAACTAGCTAGGTTGGAAAACAATTTGGAATCGCCAGGAAAAATTATGTACTTGTTTATACCCTTTAATTTTAAAACCCTAGCACTGAGTTCATAAGGAGGTCATTGAAAACAAGGAAAAATATATACATCAACACTATTTTGTAAAGCAAAAAAAAAAAAAAAGGAACTGTGTACTCAGTGACTCAGGAATTACCAAAGAAATTCTGCATAATTAAGCAATGGTGAATATAAAGAATTCAAATAAATATGGGAAGATTTGTATGAAATGACAGAGTAAATAAAGAAGAACCAAAAGAACAGTATACACAGTTATTACTATGTAATAAATGAAAACAGCCTTAAATAACAACAAAAAAGATCCTAAAAACTTTGGACATCTGCCCTATCATTTGACAAGTGGAAGAGTACCAGAGTGTAAAGTTGTAGTATGATCAAGTTTCACTAACACTTTTTCCTTAAAAAACCATTTAATTTTTTCAGGAATTAATTTGGCAGTACACTGAGCTTTGTATGGTATGTTGAAACAACACTTAACAATTAACAGATAAAGAGAGTAATGCATAAGCCAATTTTGTAATTTGAAATAACTACAAATCCTCCTATAAGGATACAACTTTGAAACTATGTTTTGTCTGGTTTGAGGACTTAATTGTAATTTCCCTCTAGTTGCAAGTCCCAATAATTGTTTCAGTAAAAGCAATTATGTGAATATATATATTTGCCTTTTATGGATGGCTTCACATACCTAATGTGGTAGCTAAGTGGCTGTTTAGCTTAGGTGGTCATATTGATTTGCATAATATTGTAGAATATCTTGTTCTTTTTCCTTTTGGGTACAGTCCTGGAATTCTCCACTGGAAGAGTTCCCTTCCTGGACTTTATCATACTAACAAAATATAATTTTTATCACAGTGGGCATTGTTCAGCCTGTGGAAGAATGTTAGAGTCTATTCACTTGAACTCAGAAGAATATGAATTTCTTAAGCAGAGAGTCTTGAAAGATGTGCTTGATGGAGGTGACCAATACAGAAAAACAACACCCAAGGTGAGTCCAGTCAATTACTTTTTTAGAGAGTTAGCATTATTATGTAAACTGATAGGATATAACAATATTCCATTTTAGACTTCTTACCTGTGGGCACAAGTACATTTTTTAGTGGAAAGAGAGCTTTCTGTTCTTGTCCTGAACATTTCTAGAAAAATGTATTCTGTGTTACCTCTTTAATATTCGTTGTGTTTTGATTATTGAAATTAGGAAATCTAAAGTTTTTTTAGAATTTTAAAACAGGTTTTATTCATGTTAAAAAATTAACTTGTTTTAAAGTCTGTATTGCCTCTACCTTCATGACTGTAAGTTGCTTATGGAGATAGAGTTGAGATAAATAGCCTTATTTATGAAGCTAGGAAAGGACTTGGTATTACTAATTCACTCATTTCAAAATTTAAAGTGAAAATTTGAAGGGGAAAAGATTATTTTGTCTTATGTATCATGGCCAATGGCCTCATATCTCTTCCAAATAAGAATAATAATCGCTAACATTTATATAGCTTTTAACTATGTACCGGGCATTCTGCTAAGCTCTTTACAATTATTATCTCATTTGAGCATCACAACATCCCTGGGAGGTAGGTGTTATTATTTTCCTCATTTTACAGGTGAGGAAATTGAGGCAAACAGCAGTTAAGTGACTTGCCCAGGGTCACACAAGTAGGAGTGTCTGTGGCCAGGTTTGAACTTGGATCTTCCTGATTCCAGGCCCAGCTCTCCATCCTCTGTACTCCCTAACTGCCTGTCTACCTAAGGATCTAGAAATTAGGTCTTGTAACATTTTATGGATATCAGTATAGTGCTTAGACTATTGTCTCTCAATCTTTCTACATGATCATTTCCCTCTATGATTATATATTTGTTTGAATTCTTTTACTACACTCCTTACAGGTCATTGTTAATGACATTCAACAGCTTATATCCTCACTATTCAGCTCTCTATTACTCTTTGAGTCATACATAATTTTGATCTTTTAAAGATTGTGGTATTTTATAATTCATAGTCATATAACATCATTAGATTTTATTTTTAGTCTGGACGTGTGTGGGGAGTTTCCCAGGTGGAAAGTCCCTTCATTGATGCAGCTTGGCAGCTTGTCTGCAACTTATGTTGCCTGAAGCACTGAGGAATTAAGTGACTTACTCATGGTCACAGAACTCATATGTTTCAGAGGGAGATCTTTGAACCCAGTGTTGCTGACTTCAAAGGCCAAACTTCTGTCTGTTATTTCATGCTGCCCTTTTAGGAGAGAATATTGGTATTGACAGCACATTTTTTGTGTCAGGGATCATGTTTTAATTATTGAAAATGCCACATAATTTCCTAAATGCTATCTATCTCACTTTATTTCTCCATCTATTCTATTCTGACCCAGGTCATTGTCCATCTGTAGACCCTATTTAAAGTACATGTGCATGCTCACACACATTCTCTCTCTGTCTCTCTCTCTTCCTCTCTCTCTTCCTCTCTCCCCCTACCCTCCTGTCTCACACACTCACACTCACAAAATGACCAGTTACTGCCCATCCAGCTGAATCTTCTGCTCAGCTGAGTCAATAAAATGTTAAATGATGCTGATCTTAGGTCAACGATGCTTATCTACCCATCCCACTCTTGTCTGTGACCTCTCAAATTCACCATTTGGTGGTTAGGATAAGTGATGAGGGATCCCACCACCAAGAGGACACCAGGCCATTTGTTGGCCCCTCCATTCTCCACATGACATATCCATTCTCTTTTTCAGTCCAGTTTTCCTGATGGAATCCTTTACTCTTGTTCCCTTTTTTTATTTCCTCATTTGTTGTATGTTACAATCTGTTTATACTCACCATTTTTCATTGTGAGATGACAGATTTAGATCTGGAAGGGACTTTCAGGAGTCAAGTTCAACCCCTTCATTTTTCAGGTAACTCAAATGAGGCTCAGAGAGGTTAAGTGACTTTCCCAGGATGCTCCAGGCAGTCAGTGTGTAGGCAGGATTGGAACGCAGATCTCCCTTAGGCCAGGTCCAACAATGTTCAGTACACCATACTGCTTTCTTCTTAATTCTTTGGAGATTGTTGTCAATTGTCCATGTTTGAAAGATTTGCTTGGGAATTATTATGTTATGTCTTGTTGATCTTAATAAAGAATGGAAAGAGAAAGGAAGAAAAATATAATGAGGGCAAGGGACTGGGAGGTTAAGGGAAATTATCTCCCATAAGTAGGGTAGACCACTAGACATCCCTCCAAAAAAGGAGGAGGGTGGGGAGAAGCGGCCAACACTTGATCCTCACTCTCCTTTGAACTGGTCAAAAGAAGGAAGAAAACACATATGCAGATACACAGTTCAATAGAGAAATGCATTTCACTCAGGAAATAGGAGGTAAAGGGGAAAGGGAATCGGTGGGGAGGGGCGAATTAGTGAAAAGGCAGATTTTGGCTGATTAAAACAAATAAAATATATTTTTAAAAAAATAGACCTTTGTTCCTGGAAGACGTTTGGTATCATTAAAGGAGCTTTAATCCTTATTGAAGGCAATGCGGTCCACTCTCCTTCTCAGTTCTGGGTCCAATTCATTCTTCATTTTTACTTTCTACACCAGATATACATGTATTATGTATGCATATATCTATATAAAATATTTTTATGTATTTTTATGTGTGTATATATATATACGTATAGTATATGTGTGTATATATGTGTGTGTGGACATGCGCATATATATATATATATATATATACACACACACACATAGTTACTTAGATGATCAAAATCTATTAGTTTGTCTATTCAACTTCATGTCACAATTTAGGTAGCAAACTTGCTTTATCCATTCAACTGGTTTTTCCTTTATGGAAGTTTAGGCTCTCCTCCAGGAAGCCCTATGGTATCTTAAGGTTTGATAGAAGTATCAGGATGTCATCTACAAGTAGGGGCATTTGGCAACCTCACCATATATTAGAATTACTTCTTCACCTTAGACTCTGCACTGAATCTATTCCCTCAAATTGGTGAATGCCTTTAGCAAGGCTACGTCTCCCTGTTTTATGCCATGCTCTTGATGTTCATGATCAGAGGATCATCAAACAAGGTTATTAATATTCTTTTATTTTTCACCAAATCCTAAAATTATTTTGCTATATAGATGGTGAAGACACCTTGTTGGAAAAAAATTTTTAAGATGGTGTTCTCTGTGCAATCAAATGCTTTTTCATACTCAGTAAACAGTTAGCATGGTGGGATCTTTTGTTCTCTGCATATTTCAGCAAACTGTGTCATGGTGAATATGTAATCTGCCATAGAATATGGCTTTAAAAATCTGCCTGGTCTTAATGAATACCCTTGTTGAGAATGTGTCCAAGGTGTCTTCTAAATTATTTTTCCCTAAAGTTTTATATCGAAGAGAAAATGAGCAAATACATTGCTAGTTATTGGTGTCTCTTGGTCATCTTTTTAGCAATTAGTTAGGTTTGAGGTCTTTTTCTACATTTTTAGTATTTTTCTATGTTTCCACTACCTTGTGTATTGATTCTTCAGTGCCTTCATAGTTGTGTTATGTGCTGCATATAATGATGATAGCTAACATTTATATAGCATTTTAGTTTTGCAAAGTACTTTGCATATGTTATTCACTTGATTCTTAAAACAACCCTATGAAGTAGATACTATTTCTATTCTCATTTTACAGATGAGGAAATTAAGGCTAAAAGTGGGAGAAGGACTTAGCTATGGCTACACAGCTAGCAGGTATCTGAGCCAATATTTGACCTTAGGTGTTTCTGCATCCAAAGTCCAGTACTTGACCAACTGTTACACCTAGCGTATATCTCCTCCATATATGTTTGTTTGTTTGTTTTTTAGGCAATTGGGGTTAAGTGACTTGCCCAGGGTCACACAGCTAGTAAGTGTCAAGTATTTGGTCTGAGGCCAGATTTGAAGTCAGGTCCTCCTGACTTCAGGGCCGGTGCTCTATCCACTGCGCCACCTAGCTGCCCCCTCCATATGTGTTTGATATAATTAAAATGTATTTTCTAGCATTTTTCTTCAGTGCCATTTCTACCTCATCTATAAACACATCAGGGACTGTGATATTAGAGTGCAAAGGTTTTGATTCTACTATCCGTGATGCTAAAAATAGTTTGTTATTTAAAATCTTGGCTGAACTTTTCCATTTTTCTTGTATTTGTTACCCTCTTTTTCATCCTCAAATACCTTTGGAATGTCTTTACCTGGTTGGATATTTCACCAAGCTTTCTTTTTTTGCCATATATTTTTTCATTTTTATCCTCACAATTTTGATCTTTCACCCAGAGCTACATAATAAAATAATAGAATTTGGAACCTATAAGGGATGGCCTTGGGGAGTTGAGATTAATTTTTAAACATGATAATTTTGATCTTTGCTGTAAAGTGTCAGTGATATGATGGTAGATAGTTAATTCAGGAATAAGTCCTACAATAGCAACAATTTCCTGTCTGTGAAATTAAAACCATTTTCATTTTTTGTGGAATATTCAATGCAGATAATGCTCAGCACCTACTAATAGTTTTCTTGAAGAAAATATTCATAATGTACAAGCTTGTAAAAATTTTAATAGTCAGGTTTATCAAACATTTGGTTATTGTTATCAAGTCTGTTCTATTGATTTCCTTTTCCAATTTTTCAACCCATACGAAACAGTTTTGACAAATGGAAAGGTAAATACATTTGACAACTGGAAAGGGGATATTAGAGCAACATTTGAACAATTGAATGTCCTTACATTCTTTTTTAGAAATTTTATTCTTATATATGTGTGTCTATGTATGTATGTATGTATGTATGTATCAGCAAACAGCGACCTTCTCTCTCTCTCCTACTCCAACCCTTCCCCTTCACTTGAATATGAAAGAAAAACAAAACTCCTGTTATTTACAAATATGTATAGTCAAGCAAAACTGATTTCTGCATTGACTCTGTCCAAAAAAAAAGTCTCATTCTGCACCCTGAGGTGAGTAGCATATAATATGACA